TATATATATATATATATATATATATATATATACACTGAGAGAAGAAATATCTAAACGTAAATATATATATATAAAAGAAAAATATTCGTTTGTCTTTAGTTTTATTTTTAGTGTATATATTGTTAAGATAAGCCTTTAGTGGAACGTGATCGATGTTAGCGCAAATAGTACGTACGCACACGCACAATGGACCGATACGTTGTACATTTTGCAGTGGGAAAAACTTAGAGCCTTGTGAACCGTGTTATGTTTGCATCACTGTATTGAATGTTGATGATTGTTGCTAGTTTATGTGCCAATGTCCTTATATCAAGTATAGGATAAATAAATATTGTTAGACATCTCATTATTCGTATAAAACGTATAATTCGTTGTTTCTCAATCATTAGTATAAAAATACGAGAATATGTATAAAGAGAAATTGGTGTACACGGTCGCCGTTATCGCATTATCTACCGTCGACTTAATTAATAAATTAATGGCATCTCTTCATTTCGTTACTCTAGAATATAAAAAAATATTATAATAAAAGAGAGAGATACAAAGAGAGCCTCTTTTCATATCAGGAAGATGTTGTCGTCGGCGGCCATAATCTGATTGTCGTTCGTCATGACGTTGATGGCGGCGGTGATCTCGTCGGACGTGAAGTTCAATGAACGCGTCGTGTTCAGATAATTGGTGACTTCTGTCAGAGGTATCGTCTGGGCCCTTCGCTCTTGGAACAAATTGTGAAGCGACGACTTGAAGATGGTGAGTCTGAAAGCGGTATTCATTTAATGATTGAGTGACCGATAGAAAATATAATATTAGAATAATTTTAAACTGTACGAAAGAAATATATATATTTGAAGATTGTGTCTATGAAACATTTTAATCTTCTAATAAATTTTAATAATATGTAATAGTGTGATAGAGGAATGATAGACTATTAAAAATCTGATATCGGTATTGATAAGACTGCCGGAACCAGTAAATCAAGTGCTAAGAAGTTGCCTCGTTTGACGATCCTAAGCGAAATTGTTATTTATCTTTTTTCGCAAGTATTCTAATATCAATCAATCGACGTTTCTCGTAGATGACTTCCGATTGATATTTCCAAGTAGTTTATGTTATCTTTCATCACAAAGTGCATTACAGTGAGGTGCTTTGAACGCCAAGAAATCGAATAAAAAGCGCCATTTTGACATTCCCAATGTTACAAAGAACGAATCATCAATTTAAAGGATCGTGTCTGTAGAATATTTTCATCCTCTAACAATGGTCTTTAATTTTAGCCGGATCTCGTTACTAGCAGCTCAGAAGGGACTCAGAATCCACATAAAAATGTACAAGATTCTTAACAATGAAATTATAGAAGAGAAATAAGAATTTACAATTCGCTTCACGGATAAACAGGGACGTCGAGAATTCACTGAAAACCGGTCTTCTTTCCTTCGAATGAAATTACCTCTCTTGCAAGATCGCTGGCGTAGCCGTTTCTGTCGCTGTTTCCGCTTCCGGGACGGATGTTCCCGCACTCTCGGTAGTGCTACTCGCTGGCTCCTCCGTAGTTTTCTGTGATCGCGCCCTGGTCACTCTCCTCGTGACCTCCTCTACGTGCGCGTCGTCGCTGTCGTACTCATACGGATCGACCTCGCCAGAGTCTTGCGTCGTCTTCTTGATACGTTTCACCTGTCTTCCGTCGCTCACGTCATCCTCGTTCTCCGACACGTCGCTGTCGCGACGTCTTCGTTTTCTCCTGTCCTTCTCCAGCACGCGTTTGAAGTACGCGAATTGCACCATTTCGATCGCTGCTCGCGCATCCTCGCTCTCCACGTTCTTCGACAGACGTGCCTTTGCATGCGCAGTTGCCAGTCGAATCAGCGTTTCCAGGGTTCTCGCTGTCACCGGCTGAGTCTGAAAGTCGCGAGGTCGAAAAATAAGAAAGGATAAACGGCAGATCTCTCGCTTATAGAAGATAACGGAAATTACTCCGAACCTTAAACCAGTACTTGACTTTTTGTAAATAAACTTGGAATTTAATGAAAAAAGGCACTAAATTAATTTGTACACCTAATAAATGTAACATAACGCATGTGTTATGTAAAAATTACATTGTTGTTTAGGAAATTATAACGTTGATGTTACGTTGTTGATACCTGGCGTTGACTGGATTTTCTTAATAGGTTTGTTCGTTTTAACCGAATTAGATAATGCTTTTCGCTTTTAGAGTGAAACAAATATATAATCTAGCGTTGAAGAGAAAAGGGACGAAGTTTCAGTGCAGCACTAATTCAACTAAAACGGACAGACCTATTGACCATTTGCAGAAACGACCTACTCTTGCAACGTCCGACTCTACTACATCTTCCGAACGAAGTTTCGAATATTCCTCCGCGATAACGGCGCTGGCTTCTTCCGTGAGCTTAGGCTTCATGCACCGAGCGATGTGAATGTACTTTCTCATGAAGTTTATGCTGAGGATCTGATCACTGCAAAGGGAAGAGAGAGGTTTGTTATACGAAATCTTGACACGCGCGATTAATTTATTATTAATTAAAAAAGTATTGTATTATATTAAATAATATATAGAATTAAAACTATTATTATATTACACATATAAATCTGACGAGATATAAAACTGAAATGATATTGCAACCGTACTTTTTGGAACGTGTCTGCCCGTGCAGCAGCGGGTCGTACTTCTGGTAAACTTGCGATTGCGTCTCCTCAGTCACCACGTCATCCGGATTCTTCGTAGTCAACATGTCCAATTTCGAGCCTAAGCTCAAGGCTTCACCGTCCTGCTCCAAGGGACTCCTGTATCGGTGCATCCTGACGACATGGTCGCTGATCACGTGATCCTGATCAGAATCGATCACGTCTAACATGACGAAAAGAAGATCAAAACGCGACAGCAGAGAATCCTGCAGCCCGATATTCTCCATGGGAGTTTTGTACTGGTCGTACTAGAGAATGCAGAGGAAGCTCTCATTAATATCTCCGTGTTTTTCTTAAAATTATACTTTTTACACGACTAAATATCCGAATCTACGTGTATTATCATTACAGCTATGTACTATTCCTTAAAAATCGGAATGGTGCAACTCTTGATATGCAAACATCTTTAAAAAAGTGAAAATCTATTTTTATATCGAATGAAATCTATTTATTTATTTATTAATAGGACATATACGTATATATGTTGTTTTTTAAGAACACGAAAAATATTAAAAATCGTAACATTTAAATAATGATGAATCAAGGGTCCTTCCTACAAGAGAGACACGATTTTTAACGACAGTCGTTATCATTACATTATTGTTACATAAATATATGACAGAAAAACTGCGCAATGGTGACGTAACAATAACGAATTGTTAAAAGTTAGAGAATCGGCTTACTGGAATGATCAAAACCTGTTTCATACGGAAACAATATAGTATTTGCTAACATGTAATATATTATCACCAATTAGCGACTGTTTTGAAAATTAAAATGTTCCATCAAACATCCATGCGCTATGTTCAGTTGTGTGATACAAGCCCATATTCTGAATTCTCTTTTATCGATAAAAATATCTTAAATGTAACTCTTCAGTCAATCAGATAGTTCCTAAGCCACTTTTAGAAGTATTTTTATTGATAAAAAAAGAATTCAGAACACGGGCCACAATCTCTCCGTGTTTTCTCGTTGGAAGGTATCCTAGAATAATTTTAAAGAGAGGCGTTTGCTCGATTACAAAGTTTACGAATCACAGAGACTCATGAAAAGCTGAATCGCCTCGCTTGTGTTTCTTGTGGAAAATTATATCAAGTGTAGAAAATTAGAGAGAGGAACAGTCGAATCCAGACTTACTCTTCCGTATACGGGATTCGCGGCTGCCAGCACCGAACAGCGCGCGTTCAGACTGGCGTGAATGCCCGCCTTGGCGATCGTGATTCTACCCTGCTCCATTACCTCGTGTATCGCCGTTCTATCAATATCCGACATCTTGTCGAATTCATCGATACAAATAACACCCCTGTCCGCGATGACCATCGCACCTGCTTCCAGTCTGCGCTCGCCTGTCTCTTGGTCGACGGTAACTGCCGCGGTCAGACCCACGCCCGAAGATCCCCTTCCGGTTGTCGGTATCGCTCGTGGAGCCGTGCACAGTACATAACGCAGTAATTGAGACTTGGCCACCGATGGATCCCCGATGAGCAGCACATTTACGTCTCTGTAACGTATTAAATCGTATCTCAAACTATCGTTGGCAAATATCATACATAAGTTCCGGTCTACAATAGATGTTTCAAGTTCTAACCCTTAAGAAATTGACCGATTGCAATCGAATTATAGAAGAACAATTAATTATGATTGGTCAATTTCTTTAATCTTAAATTCTCATTGTAAACTCCGCTTTAGGTGTACAAATTAATAGATATCGTATAGGAAGTATACGCGAAAGAGTGAATTCTTCCACCTCGCTGCAGACTACATTTTTCGATTCTTTCTTTTTCTTTCTTGAATAATTTACTCATTTTCTAATCATCGATGTGAAATAAGTATCTTAACGCGAGTCAAATTTTTATCAAGATCCACCCAAAAATAATGATTACAAACGCATTCGATTTTAGAAGATTACAAAAGCATTATCTGCTTTGTAATTGTGTAATTATTGATGACTTCATTTTCGAATATCTCTTACGATATAATCACGGAAAGATCTCGTGAAACCTTACCCTCTTAGCCTCGTACCATTTGGCAGGATCTTTTCCACTCCGCCCAAGAGCAAGCACAGAATTGCTTTCTTTATATACTCATTGCCATGTATGGACGGCGCGAGGGACTTGGCGAGCAGCTCGAAGATATTCTTGCAGGGGTTGTGCTTGGCCAATTTCTTGCACATAGCTACGTCATCGTGAGAAATCGCGAGATTGGCTTCCTTACTCAGTTGCATCACATTGTTAGCGATCAGAACAGTCCTGTGTGGAAGTAAGTTGTTAGAATGGACTTTCAGAAGACGCTTTCTTTGTCTGCGATAAATTCCAAGGTGATCTGCAATTTGATCGGGTAGGAAATGCAGTCTCGAATTCCGATCGAGGACACACACCTGAAGGTGCCAGTCGTGTATCCTCCCTGCTTGCCTGGGAGACACCGGTAATTCCCAACAACCTGCACTCGATCTCCAGGCTTGCACAAGTCTACCAAATCGTTGTCGCAGATCACGTCCACGCTCCGCGGCAACTGTCCGGCCGGAGCTTTCTCCGGCATTTCTTGTATAGTGAGCGTCTGATGGTCCTTGTAAGTCGATAAACCAAATTCTGTTTCGAGCGCATTGCCATCTTCATCCTGCAATGTGGAGAAATGAATCTCTATATGAAGAATAAACAAACATTCTTTCGTATTTTATTCGATCTGCACAAGTAATTACGGTAGTTGGATATATAGCTGAGTGAGGAAAAGCGTCCAACGAAGTTAAGTCCGAATAGGCTCTCTCGAGGACTGTTTTCGTCGTCTCACAGTAGTGAACGCTTCTCACAACTTTAGGTCGTACCAACGAACCTATCATAAGCATCCTTATAAGTATGTTATTTCTTAAAATAAATTCTAGAATTTGTAACATATAAAACTAGAGATGACTATACAACATAAAGTAAATTTTTAATAAAATTATATATACACACACATATTTTAATATATATATATATATATATATATATAACAAATGTATACTTGCAGACAAGTGTAATGTCTTTTAATAAAAGAAGATTATAGAGAACGTTCCTTTTTAGATACTTACATTTTGTGACAATACCTTCTACACATACCAAGTTACCCAGAAAACGAGAGGTAAGCGTTCTCGGGGTAACATGTTTGTTTCCAAAACTTCCTTCAAATGCTACAAAGAAATCTTTGTTGCCCTTAGCATAATCTATATCCACACTGGAGATATATTGTTTCAAGGCATTTTGAAACGCAAGTTGCTCCTCGAAGGAATTATTTAATAAACTGTAATATGATAAATTCACGACTCCTTTAGATTTTAATTATAATTTGTCTAGATGTATAAAAACTATTCTGTAGAGTAATATAAATTGATGACAACTACAACTAAATAAGCATGTACCATACCCGATTGTGCGCGCAGGATTCTTTTTTCTTAAGTCATTGATATTTACAACTAATCTGTACTTATTTTCCTGAATCATATTCTTCACCATCGTGGCATATATGCCTTGATCCTCCTGTGTGAAACATCAAAAAGCATGAAAATTTCGAGAAAATATCAGGTGCACATGTGAAAACGAGCCACAAAATAACGTTTTCTGGCATATAATTATAACGTGAATAATTATAAAGTTAAGCAAACATCATTGAGATAATAAACGTTGACGTTTAAAATACTTACCATATCATCCAAGAAGTCTACATATTCGCGCGTTATTTGTTCTAAATTCTGATCAATCTCCGTGTCCATTTTGACGATTTAATTATAATACAATATTTATTACACGAGAATTCTTATACAATAAATTCCAACAAATTTGTTAAGTATTTCGAAAACGATGCCGGCGACTGCTATTATTTACGCGGGAAAATCTCATGTAGACCAAAACCCAACTGAAAAAGACACTAGAAAGTGTAAAGGTACAATTTCATGGTAGCGTTGAGCGTCGGAACCAATTAGCAGTCAATCCATTGTCTGCTGATTGGTTCCGACGTTCGACGCTACCATGAAATTATAGGTCTGTTCGTTTTCACTACACTAAAACTGCACTAGAACTGCACTGAACTAAACTGAGCCCGCCCTGAGTCAGATTAGAGGTCTTCGTTTTCGCTGCACCGCTGAACTAGTGTAATAAGTTGAAGCGAGATAAGTATGGAGCTCCATTATACACTTACTCTTGCATTTAGCAAACAATACCAAAAGAAAACGAAAAGAAGAAACATCACCAACAGCCGAAGCAGCATTATTAAACGAACCACCGAATCAACAAAACACACAACAACAACCACTATACCGTCCGTATACTCTTATCGCGAATTACAAGCACAAATCGAAACCAGACAAATCCCTCAAAACTAAAGTATTTCGGAATTTTTATTATAAGAAGGGGGGTGTAACATCCGGACTTATTTTGAAACATTAATAATATATTAGTATAGATCGGAGGCCGACTTGTCTGATTTCAGATATCACTAGGTTAGATATTCACCAGGTATCCCTATGTTACTAGATGTAAGTACGTGCGCATATGTATATTCGAATGTTATATAAATCGAATGAAGATTTCTATGAGGATTTAATAGCGCAAAGTTTTAAAAATGAATAATTTACATTGGTATTGAAACCATATGAACAGAAATTGTACAATTCGAATTCTTTTTGCATGTCATGCTTTAATATATACTGAGAATAAGACTTTTGCATAGATCTGAAACAATTTTTTTTTTTACATTTCGTACACGTCCATCATTGTTACTCATTAGAAGTCATACTGGAGCGTTCGGAAACTCTCGACACACGAAGGCAGGGAGACGGTGCTCCCACTATTTTCCCACCGAAATCACGAAAACACACCACGAGTGGGATTCTCGAACGCAACCTAACTTATTGCACCAGTGTAATCCAGGTAGTTCTTTGAAAAAGAACCTGTTGTCTGATCGTAATGCGCAATGGGACACTTGTTAAATGGCATATCTTTTACATTAATTTGGATTTTCACGGTTTCATCAGTAATTTCAACATTTTTCATTATATCATTTATATCATATTTACCAAGATAGTATCATATATGATATTTTTATCAAGATGTAAATATTTGCCGATATGTTCTTGATGACGATTTAATTTTAATATTTGTTAATAAAAATTAGTCACATCGCAGCTTCGTAATTTTATTTTTTACGATCTATACTGATATTTCGAATATATAAATATCTATTTCATTGTGCACATATTTTCAGGCTGCTGCACATTACTGTGTATGGGGATTATGTGAATCTTGGGAGTATTGTTGTGATGAGAATATATGCTGTACCTATGATGATTACAACGTATGGATTACAGTGTAAATATATAAGATTTATCTTGGAAAATGTGTTACATATTTCTTTGAACTTATTTAATTAAAAATCCATTGTGAATGTTAACAGGATAATCATAGCTGGAGTTGTAACTGGCATGATACTTGCTGGTGTATGTCTTTACTATAATTTACAACGCGTCTATATTTACCTGCGTCATAGATATTATGGTGTTAACTCTATTGCAATACCTTCAGAATTTGAATCCGATGTGAGATCAATAAAAATGTCATATAAATAATAAAATATATTTGATCAACTTTAAGCTTCAATTTTAAATAGAAATTCCATGTGTCAACATATTTATAATAATTTATTTCTATATATTGGAATGTATTAAATATATAACGCTATATTGTTAATAGCAATTGTATTTATATTTTTTCTATCACTATTACACTATTAATAATTTTTACACTTATATGTCAAGCAAAAAGTATAGATGCATTATCGTACAATGTCCAAACTATGCCTCCAGTCAAGTATCTTATTACTAATTTTAAAAATATCCCAATTTTCATTCATTTTTGGAGCACGAAATTTAACATGTATGAGTGTACAAATATCTTTCGTATGTTCAGGAACAAAAAAGTCAGAAAGCTTGGGTGTAATATCCTTTTGTCGCAGTTCTGGATCCTTGCTTCGTACAATAGCGGGTATCTGTTTGTCATCTATGCTCAAATCTACTAAATTTTTGAAAATTGTTTCATCCAATGAAAAATCCAGTGCAGTAGAAATCTATTAGAAAAGACAAATGCCTTCGGGTATTATCCTCTTGCCTCATGATTTAACTTATTACTCGCGACACAATTAAGAGACCAGAGCAACCATCTATTATAATTTCTTTGAGATGAATGTTCCGTATACTAAATTGAGTCCGTGGAATTTAATTTAAATATTTACAAAACTTTCCAAAATCTCACTAAGGAGATTTTCCAAAATTCTACTAAGGAGATTCTCAGAGAGGCTCAAAAATTCCAAATATGAAGGATATATTTAGAGAGTTCAGATTCTGAAAGTATGCTTGTAAATATGAGCGACTTTTGTTCCTAATGATTTTTTGAGATTATTAAATAAGAAATTTAAGAAATTTCTAGAAATTTTTGATTATATTTGGATTCTATAAAGCCTTACACATTGCTCTTTAACTAAATTTAGTTAATTATTAATTAATAGAACATGTAATTTTGAAGAAAAATTCTAAAAGTGGATAATAAAAGCTTTCCTCAATAATATACCATATATTGACTTTTACAATGGTAGTTTCACATTATTCATTGTAAAAATTGAAATAGTCATAGTAGACAATTACTCTAGTTATTCTATATATTTTAAGATTTTACCTTTTCATTTAAAAGATTCTTATGTGGAAAATAATTAACATCGCTCACAATTTCTCGTTGCTTAATTTCCTTAAGTTTGTGAATGTTACACATGATAGAATTATATTCTGGTTGTGCCAGTTTTCCCACAGCAAGGTCTGATATTGTACAATATTTTTTATTTGCATCATCTGTCTTTGTATTGTTCTGCTGCTTGTGAGAAACTCCCGGTTCCACAGAAGTTTTGATTTTAATACCTGTTGTACTACGTAGTGCAATTTTTTTAACAGGAGATACTTTATTTCTTATTATTCCAGTTTCGATATATCGGTAACATGGCATAACACTAGGTTTTGCATTAAGAATTCTTGTCGTTTGTTTTTCAGTTTTCTTCATGATACTCGGTGCAGACTGTAATTTTGTCATTACTGTTCTATAAGAATTTACAGTATCTGGTTTCTGTACATCATCATTGTTTGTAAAAAGTTTAAATTTCTTGCATACAGCTGGTTGTATATATTGAGAGTTTCTTGTTCTTATCTTATTTATATTTTTATTCGGTATAATCTTGTTCAATACTGCATCCTTATTTTCTTTGTCCTTTTGTTGCAAGATCTTTCTACAATGTTTTAAAGTATTATTTTGTGTACATATGTTTTTATTCAGTTGCGTTACTTTTTCTTTCTTGTTTTGACTACTACTTGCGTTGTACAAAATCCTTGAGATCTCTATTTCTGTCTTCACATTATCATTAGATAGAGATATACCTTGAGTATTGACAGATGCTGTATCACTAGAGCAAGATGAGGATTTTATTTCACAATCCTTTGAAAGTAAATCTTTCTCATAAACATCAGCAGATCCCATAAAATCTATTATTTTCACTGGTTTCTTGAGAGATATAATACTTTTGATTTTGGGACCATTTATTTGTGGATTTGTATTATCTTTGCAAGATTCTTCAATAATTTCATCATTTCGTTCTTGGTTAGAAAACCGAGAAAACTTAACTTTTGGTCTTAAAATGAGTTCAGTGTTTTCTGACATAGCCAATACGCACGCGTTTGAATAAGATATAACAAATAATATAATTATTACTAATAATGACTTTCGCAGCCAGGCAGCGCGATATATGACTCGATATGTAGCACGTGACGTGCGATATCCAATGAATATATTACTTTTCCAGGAGAGCTGTATGCTCATTGGACATTGTGCGTCACGTATCGCATATTGTGTCGCGCATTCGGAAATACCACACTGAAGATAGAGGCTTTCAATTGATCAATCAGAACGAAAAGAATTAAGATTTATTCATTATGATTTGTCAATTATATGCCACTCTATCCTCAGTGTGTATTCCTGAATGCAACGAGAGTAATTTAAACCTTCAGCATGGAAAAACGTAGGCTGGTATTACATGCGTCGTACAACGAACATTACCGGATGTGTCAATTGGCTGTTGGATAGAGAATTTTTAGTATTCCTAACATTTTCTCTAGACATCTTAAAAATTATCTATCCGACATCTAATTAGCACTCTCCACAAATTCGTCATATGACGCATGTTATACCAACCGTAAAGCTCGTATCAGACTGAATTGAATTTAGCCAATCAATGCAAAGTTATCTGAGCTCAAGTTCAGTGAAATTTAGTGAACTTTGCACTGATTGGTAAAACTTCAATTTAATCTCAATCTCCAATCCGTAGTTTAACCTTTTTAGTGCCGGGCGAAAAAGAGGTGCTTATGCGAAGATAACCGGCCGATTTTACTAGGATTTGGTAAAAGGCTCATAAAAACCAAACGAAAAGCAATATTTAAAAATCATTTATTTTAATTCTCTCGTAATGAAATTAGACTATTTATAACGTATTTTAAATTTATTTTGATAGAGATCTCTCGCAATGTGAATAGTAAAGCGCTACAAGGTGCGGGCCGATATATCGGCTCTGGCACTTCTCGCCGGTGTAGCAGGAGCCGATATATCGGCTCCCGGCACTAAAAGGGTTAATACGGGCTTAAGCAGTAAGACTTAGGCTGATATTACATAAGTTTTAAACTGGTATAGTCAGATCTTACATTTAAAACCGTATTAATTTTTAGATATTTCATTGCCAATGAAATGCGCTCTACAGCATCTGAAGATGAACTTAAAATGGTCTTAAATATAATTTCTGACTATGAATACCGACCCAAAAAACGATAAAAGTGACGATAAGTTTTGCTTTAGTTTCGATCTACAATAAATGCTTTAAGCTCTAAGCCTTAAGAAATTCACAGTCGATTATTCTTCTCACATTGGACTGTGATTGATCAAATTTCTTAATTTCTTACGCCTTAAATTATCATTGTAGACCCCGCTTTAAGCTTTAATTCTTAAGCAGAAATAACTAGTTGAAATTCTAGTTAATTTTGTTTAAGACTAATCTTATCGAATATTTACGATAATGTCTCTCCGAATAATCTCCCCTTGGGCAGAAATATATGACAGATATAACCATTAACATATAATGCTGGACGGAGCACGCAGCGAGATTTTTTTGATCTTTCGTATTGAGAGCCCTAGAAAGAGAGAGTTAGATGTGTAGACACGGATCTCTCTTTCTACTATTTGTTCATTGGTTGAATTTTGTCTGAAAAGGGGAACATTATCGCGTATTTTTAAAAGGGAACATTTTTGACGTTGCTATATACGAGTGATATGATATACATTATATACGTTTCGGTAAACAAAAAAATTCCTTACTTGGTATCAAGAATCTTTCGGTGCGGTTATTCTGAAACATTCTGAATACAAGCATTTTTAGGAAACGTTCGAAATTTACATTAATCAATTAAATCTTTTCATTTTAACCATTTAATGACTTCTTCAATGTTGTTTCAACATTGTAACAATATAAACAATCAATGCAGAAAAATCAGCATAGATTCAATAAATTTAATGTTGGAAAGATGTTTACGTTCAACATTCAAGATTGCACGTCTCAGTAATGTTGTTTGTTTCTATTTTCTGTGCTGTATGGGGGGTCAATTATTTTTATAATATTTCTGCAACATTGCTGAATCATTTCGGTGAAATATTACAATTGTATGTATTTGTAATGTCACATTGTAACTTACAATATTACAACATTTCTGCAATGTAACTGGAAGCTTCTGTAAATCGCTGCAGTGTTGCTGCAATTTTGCTGTGCTGTATGAGATATAATCAATAAAAGTAAAATAATCTATATGTCATAAAAAAAAAGTTATATTATTTTGTTCCAACTGTGCCTGTTAAAATATTTATTTAAATATCAATAATTATAAACAATTATAACGTAAATTATTTATACTTAAACTTATTTATACTTCTATAAATAATTTATTTTACTACATTTTTTTTCTATTTTGATCACAGTGCAGAGCTAAGTCGAACACAATCTCAATAAAATTGTAAGTATACAGGTCAATGAAATAACTATGTATGTAACAGTTTAGGTAAGGCATAGTTAAGGCAACCCGCTCGGCAGACTTAAAGATTTTGATTTAGACATTTTTAATCTCGCTTCATTTTAGAAGAGTCGGTATCCGAAAGATGTTTCTTAGGCACCTTAATGGCAACCTATCTGCATGATTACAAAAAAAAGAGGTTATCACAGAAATCATTAAAGTATGCATCTGACGTGATACGAGAGAGAAATATCAAAGAGAAATATCAAAGTAAACATTTCTTAAAATTAAGTTACTAATTATTTTTTCCAATGTGTAAATTTCTTAAAGAAATCAGTTTGTATCTTTAAATACTTTATGCATAGTAGAATAATAAATATATAAATTATAAATTTAATAACTAATAAACCATTTAATCATATAATTTTTTAAATGCTTGCAATATAATATTATGTGTCGTTTAACATATGGTATATTGTACGTTTATCTTTTTTGTTATAGTTAATATATATTTTAACATACACACACATACACACACGCATGCACATAATCACATTCTATTCTTTGTTAAATCCTCATACTTTGCAATATGAAGCCTATTGAATTCCAAACACACATTATTGTAAAGCTTATTTCTTATAATCTCTAAATATATATATATATATATACAGTTTATC